AGTAGTGTAAGTCGGGACTGGCTGGACTGAAATCAGCTGAGTTCGCCTGATGGAAAACAGGCATGGGAGGAATGGCTCAGCCTCCAGTGCTTAGTGCCTGGCGAGGAATCATTAAACTGAATGTATCCCTAAGAAGCACCAGTCCTCAAATGCTCCCCTTCGCCCAGCCCAGCTGAGCTCCAGCCTAGCTTAGGATGTTACTTTTTACCCACCTCTGTAAGTGCTTTTTTTCCCCCCTCACCTTCTCTGTATTTCAGGACAGAGACATTGTCTGCTTAATCCACTTGGATATAAACAGCACAAAGGAAGCAATGAGGAAACTCCTCCCTATCGCTTGCTCCAACCACTGCAGACATGCTGCCAACTTGCTGCAGGATACAAATTATCAGAAATTTGGGGAGCTTTCTTACCTGGAGAGCGTCAGCTCTGGTGCATCAGCAACCATCAAGGAGTAGATGTGCACTTCTGTGCAACAGCCACGCTACAAGTCACAGCCGTTCCAAAGTGCCAGTTTTCAGTCTTCTCTTCACAAATCAGGTAGGCTGGTTATCTATTAAAAAGGAGAGAGAGAGAGGGTGAGCACACAGAGGAAATCAGGCTGTTTCCTGTTTGTTTATCATGAACAAAAGCTTGTTTGGCTGGTCTGAATGTTGCTAACAGGCTGGCCCAGCTGCTGTGTGTAGTACAGAGCTGAGCTTCTCCACCAGTGTGAATGGAAGGAGAAGCAGCAAGGGAACATCTCCCCTGGGAAAAGCAAAGCAAACCCCATCACCTCTTGGGGATCACAGGCAAGACAGAGTGGTGGGCAAGGAGTTTTCAGCTCCATTTGTAGAGCTTTCATGTGTGACAGTGGCAACTAACTGCTGCTCTTTGGTCTTCTGGCAGCAACTTGCAGCAGAGGGGGCTGCAGTCACCCTCATAGGGGGCCCTGCAGTAGGTCTTACATTGTCCGTTATCCTCAGACTTTGCCCTAAAATTGGTCCCTGTAGCCTAGTATTCTTCATTTAGAGGCAAGTGGGCGGTGACCTCCCTGATCCCTTGTCCCGCCCCCCGAGGAGACTAAGAGACACCTTTGGTCTCCGTCATCCTCCGTGGCAGCAAAGAGCAGGCCTGCTGCTGCCATCTGCCGGGAGCGCAGCCTGGCCTGCTGACCTCAACTGTTTTCCCATTTTTTACTCGTTTTGCTCTCCGAGAAAAGTGTCTGCCTCTTCCCAGATGTTCTTTTTGGCAAAGAGAGCCAGCTGTGGTTAGCAGCAAAGCTACAGCCTTCATCAGTGACCCACAAAACACCCCTGCCTCAAGGCTGATGCTAAACGTAACCATCTGGTGGGAAATAGAAAAATCAGGAGTGCCTGTTGTGAGGCTGGTGCAAGGCAGTGTCCATAGCTTTGGGGACCAAAAGCCTTAAAGAGGGAAATTTACTTCTGACTAATGAACACTAAGGCAGAGATTGGGGGCAAAGCCTGTTGAGTAGTTTTGGGGCCCTTTTAGCTGGGTTCCCTAAGGAAGTGCATGCTCTTTCCAGCTTGCTAATATGTCCCAGCCTGGCTGGGGAATTGGCCACTTTGTACACCATGCTGTATCTATCCTTCCTCCAGGGAAAGCCCATTTCAAACTAATGGATGGGGGAATCAAACAGACTGAGTTCAAAGTGTTGTGGCAAACAGGAGGCCAAAATGAGGAAGAATTGACCATGGAAAGCATTCTGCTCCCCGCAAAAAGCCAGAAGTTTTAGCATGGTTGTGATCCCTGCTAGACATCAGAAAGCCCACACAGCAGAGATCTGTTCCTGCTTGCCTGGCTGCAGGAAATGCTTCCATCAGAGCTTGTGTCATTTTAGACAGCGAGAATCCAGGCTCGAGAGCCAAACCACAGGCCCACTGGCTTTTTTGTTCACAGAAGCTAACTGAAAGTTTCTCTGCCGTCCTTCAAATAGCATCATCCAGGTCTTCCCATCTGGAATGAAGGCTTACCTTGAGCTGAAGTGCGCACCTAGCTCACCAGGAAGCTGTGGCATGTGGTGCTCATGGAGCACTCCATCCTCGTGGGCAGTGGTGCTCCACCATCATGGTCACAAGACAGCCCCTCTCTTAGTCTTTAGGGTGAGGTGAAGTGGCAGATCCGCAGTTCTGGAGCATCTATCAAGCACGAGAGCCCCATAGAGCAGGCAGCATTTACAATAGGGGCAAGGCCAGTGGAGCAGCAGAAGAATCAGAAGCCTCAGGCCTGATTCCAAGCAGATCAAGTGGCTTATGCAGGGTCTCTGGCAGGTCAGATAAAGACCCTTGGTAAGAAAATGCCCCTCTGCCCTCAATACAAGCCACATACCTTAAACTTCTCTCTTGCCTCTCCATCGCAGGTCGGGTCTCTCATGATAAAATTTTTCTTACAGGGTTATTAAGAGCAACAACGTCAGAAAAAGCCAGACAGAGGGTGGGGATGACTTATTTGTTAGAGCAGCACGGGCAGCCTGCCTTCATCTTACCCCAGCCTGGAGCTCTTTCTACTGCTCTGAGAAGAACAGCACTGAGAGCAAGAGCTCACTCCCTGCCAACACCTCCCAACACACCGAGGGAAGGGCCAGCAGCCTGGCAAGCAGAGAGTGTTCAACCTTGCAATCCCTTCAGTCTAGCTTTGGTCAGGAAAGTTAGGGAGGCTGATCCTTCACTATGCAATGTTGACTCTTTTCTTGTTTGTTTGTTTTTTTTTTTTGTCCCGCCTCCCTCGCCCCAAACCAAGGAGCTGGACAGCACCTGACCCAGTTGGTAGAGGATGCCCAATATTGACAGTGCTCGCTCAGCCTTGTGTGGCTCAGAGCAGCCATCCAGCAAGCAAAAGGCTCTGCATTTCCTCCTCCAACCTTATGTAGGCCACACAAAATCAAGCCCTGGAGCCAGATGGGTAGAGGGTCCCCATGGTCTCCAAGGCTGAAGGATGGCTATAAACACAGTATAAACAACAGGGTCAGCTGGCATGCACCAAGACAGCTCCAGCTTCAAGAACAGCTTTGAAGTCTCATGAGTTCACGGCACCTTTAGGCATTATGCAAGGCAGCACAAGGGTAACAGTGCAGTTAACAGCCAGGGAACATTTGTGAAAAGAATTATACGCAAAAGCAAAGGAAATGGTGATTAATCAGACCCAGGGGCCACCGTTAGAGCCTTCAGACACCTTCTCCAGAGAGGCTAACAGCAAAAGGAGCAGGAAACGCGCCACACTCCACTGAAAACAAAACTGGACGCAAAAGTAATGCAGAGCTACAGAAGCCGAGAAAGGATTTCAGATCCACTGTTCGGAGTCCAACACCTGGCGCATGAAGCTAAACAGAGAAACACAGGAAACACTAAGGGACTTTAAAAGGAACCTTGGGAGAAAAGTAGAAGCTTCCTTAAAACAGTGTCTGAAGCAATAAACTAGAAGAATAAAGAACAGCAGCACTGTAGAGGGAAGAGTTCTGGAAGTTATTTGGGAGTTATGGACCTGAGTGCTCAGCTGTTTAAAATACTTTGCAAGTGCACGCACCTCATCACTACAAGCACATATCCTTCCCAGCAAAAAAAAAGCAGGCAAGTCTTTCCCTTTTGCCAGACAGCAACCCAAAGTGGTTGTGCGATGACAATATGAGCCCAACACTTACAGTAACCTTCCCCACAGTTCAACATCCTCAGGATAGCAATGACATCCACCTAAGCTGCTCTGCTTAGGGACAGTGACACTCTACAAGCACCGTGTTTGCAGGAGGTGGGTACTGGGGTGCCAGGCCAGTACAAGAGCTTCCAACAGCCAGCAGTAGGCTTGCAGTTCCCTATAGCCGGTATCTGGTAGAACACTCCTTTTCTGATGCAACACCATGCTGCTGGGAAACAAACAGCAGCCCTTGAAAATATATGTACAGGTAGTAAACAGCTCAAACCATGCAGGGAAGAAAATTAAAAGTCCTCTGGCTGTAATTACCTATGGAATGTGTTCTGGCTTTGTGGAGGTAAGGAAAGCCAAAGAGCACTTCAGAAGTGAAGTGACCAAGCCAGCACTCTCATGCCAAAGTATTCTCGGCCTTACATTGTTGCAAGGGAGGAATTCAGCCTAAAATAATTATATTTCAGGGTTTAAGTTGTTTGAAGCAAGAGTGTTTGTTTGTGCTACATGACTTTTACGAAAATCATCTAGCACAAGCATAAGGTCTTGCTCTACTGATCCAACCTTCAAAAAAACCACACTACTAGGCTTCAGACCATGGCATTTATTGAAGGCTAGTTATACAATCTCACCCATCACTTTCTCCTTGAAATTCAGATTCCCTAAATAAAAAGTACTGATGTAACAGAGAATTCAGCCCACCTCAGACTGCCTGAGCCGCAGAGCGTTGGGTCAGCCCCTTTGTCCAAGGCACCATTTGGAATAGAGCAGCTGCCACAGTTACTGACGTTGGTGAAATAACCAACGTTGCACAACAGGGCAAGCAACAGCAAACAACAGTGTGCAGCAAAGCAGGGGGGAAGAGGTGGAGATGTCCCTCTCCTAGCATGGGATTGAGAAGTTATTTCCTGCAGAGAAAGAAGCTTCTCCATCCAGTGCTTAAGGGGATCTCTGCTACTCTCCCCTCCAGCCACAATCCGCTCGATTTGTGCCTTGTGCTAACAGTGCTGTGGTTCACACGGCACTGCAGAGCCACTAACTGATGTCCTCTTAGCTGGAGAAACCCTGGCTCGACTGAAGAGCAAGCCATGAGCATCCCTGTTCTAGTGCAGGATATGCAAGTCCAACAACCCTGGCTCAAGCAGCCAAAAGGCACTGATGCATCCCTGTGAAACCTGACTGATTCGGCACTCCTGAGGCCAGGAAATCCTCTGGGGTACTTGTTTATCCCAGAAGACAAGATGAAAATGCTTCCCAGCTTTGCTCTTGCTGCTCAAACTGCCTGGAAAAGGGCAATTCTCAAAACTAGCTGGATGGTCACTGGAGCCACTGCTCTGACCATACATGGGAGGAATGCAGGTTTTTTGTCAAGACTGTTCAGTTTTATTTGATTAACTCAAAAGGGACTGGATTTTAATTTCCTCTCTTTTACCCAATCAGGAAATTGCAATGATTCTTTTCAAATGGGCTGATCTGTAGGTAGACGTGATCTAGCTATGGCTGCAGAGCCACATTCACTGGGGCAGCTGGAGGAGCACTGACTGTCCGGAGGGCAGGTAGGTGACGTTGCGGGACCGTGAGAGCTGGTAAGCGATGTCTTCAGCTGCCTCCAGTTTGCGCAGCTCAATCAGGCCATCGCCCGCAGTGGCCAACGAGTTGGCAATGAGCTCAGCTGCTTTTGAGTCTCCTTCAGCAGAGATGACAGCTGCCTTCTTCTGCTGCTCGGCCTGCACCAAACAAATGAGAAGGGGAATGAGCAACAGAGAAAAGAACAAAACAGGAGAAGGAAGATGCTGTTGTCACATGGAAAGAATAAATTCCCACTTCCCCACAATATTGCCTTTTTTTCCTTCCCCAGTAGGAAACTTAGCAAGAGTAAAGTAGGTGATTTTATTTTAAAGGTTTATTCCATTTGACTTTTTTTTTCCCCCCACTAGGGAGAAGAGGTTTAAAATTCACCTTAAAAACAACTTCCCCCTCCCCAAACCCACATACATTTAGGCTTTATCTAGCCAACAACCACGTGCCAGGGCCATACAGGGAGCACTGTATCACTATTTTGACCCCAAGCAACATTTGAAATGTTCACTGCTAGCTAGACTGAGAAGAAGATAACAGGAACTGTTTCCAAGTCAGTCTTTCATCAGTGCAAGGTACCTTTTCCACAATGAATCTGGCTCTCTCTGCTTCTTGTTGGGCCACTTGCTTCATTTCAACTGCCTCTGTGAACTCCTTGCCAAAGGTCAGGTGGGTCTGTGGGAGGAATTGAGCAAAGAAGTCTATAACGCTGCCAGTTTCTAGCAGCATGGCCAAGAACCACACTGCTCTCATGTGCTAGGAAACCTTCCTGTATCAGTGGAACTTGAGTGGAAATTGAAAACTAGTATCCTTAAAAGAACTGAAGGGCAACAGGAACTAGGACAGGCAGGGTTTTCCTATCCCGTTTTGACCAGTATCAGATGCAACAAAGGGAGACAACACAAGCCTAACTCCAGGTCAGCAGACAGGTAACCTGGGAGATGTGCCATGTGGTCCTTCCAACTTAGGAGAACACCCTGCAGAGGAAGCCCATTCCCTCCCTGGCAGGGCAGCAGAAACCCACAAAGTCACCCTAAACCTTTCTGGCTCAATTAAGTACTTGTGTTCTCAGCCTGGACTCTTTGGACACCTACAGCCTACTGGGATGTTCCAGGGAAAGGCAAATTTCCTTAAGGAGTGTGTTCAGGAGAAAGCACCAGCCACAAAGAGCCAAAGCTCACATGTAGTGCAAACAAAGTCACCTTCCTGCAAAGACTTCCTCTGTGATCGAAGCCAAATGAAAGAGCTTGTTTCCCTTTCCTCTAAGCAGGCTTTTGAGGAAAATCCCAGAGAGAGCAGTGCATGCACAAGCCAGATTTAACAAGATTTACTTTACAAAGCTGTAGGGGAGTGTAGAGAGGGAAGAGAGGAACAAGACTCGCCAAGGAAAAGACACAGTTGTAGGAAACAGGCAGGATTCTACCCAAGGTGTAGATTTTCACTAAAGCTCCTTAGATGAGATACTTCCCCTGAGTGTCAGGGTGCTTGTGGAACAGTGGGCTGCTCTCAAGCAATTTACAGACTAATCCATCATCTACAAAAAGCACTACCTCCCTATTTTAACTACAGAGACCTACAATAGCGAGGTCAGTCAAGAGGAGGGTACAGCTGAACCTTCAAGGCCTTTCTGAAGGTCACAGAAGGCCAGTGACAAAACCCAACGTGTCAATGTGAGCCACTAAATAAGGCGTAACTCCAGACAAACATCTCCCGTGTGACTAAAACTCCATCCCCCTTTTAGCCACCCACTGGTTCTATACTACTCTTACCTGACTTCAAAAAAGAAAACCGAAAAGGAAAAACTCTTACCAAAGACACATCATCTAGGATGAGGCCAAAGGTTGCTGCTCGCTCTGTGAGGTCCTCACTCACTTGCCTCGAGACCAGCTCTCTCTGCGTGATCAATTCTCCAGCATCAAAGCGAGCCTGACATTAGGATGGATAAAAAAAAAAATGAGAATAAAGTTTCCAGAAACAATAGATTTTTCATATCCTGCACATTTTTGCACTTGTAAATCCCAGCCTTAATCTATCTCCAACAGCTAGCAACCATTAAGCTACCTGTTTATCTGAACTAAGAGAAAGACTAAATGACTAAAATACCCTGGGAAACCTCCTCTGCAGCTCATGTTTGTATCTGAGCACTGGAATATAACATTGGCTGGACTCAAGTTCATGATTATTTGGCAGTCTCCTGGGGATGCTTCCAAAAATGGAGATAGCAAATAAGTTGAAGTCTAGGAAAATGAGAGTAGTGGAAATCACAGTCTCTTAACCAGGACTTTCACAATGAAGGAAAAAGCTAACCAGGCAAGCCAAGCCCTCACAATGGCAGAGAAACAAGCAGTGTAACTACAATCATCAGCTCTTCTAGATAAGGTTTTAGAGCCTGGGGGGCGGAGCACTAGATATTTCACACACTAACAGGTTTCTCAAAAGGGAGGAAAGCAAGGTGACAGGCGGAGCCTAGCAGCTGTCATGTCATCCTTACCACAACAGACTTCAGGATTTCAGTTGTGATTGAAGGCAGGACACGCTCATCATAGTCTTCTCCAATACTTGTGAAAATCCGAGGTAACTGGGCAGTTACCGGTCTAAACAAGATACGCAACGTGATGTTCACGTTCTGTAGATCTGGAGAGAGACAGAAAGGGAGGCACAAGCTTAGTGGTGAACTGTGGAGACAAAGAGAGGTCCTGAAGTTGTCCTCCCTGTGGTAACTAACTGAGAAAGAACAAACCTTCAGGCTTCTCTTTATCAGCAGAAAGAAGTTATTTTTACTGTCTCTTTCACTCAGGGACCCAAATCCTTCTTAAAGGTAAGAGCTAAGCTTCAGTTTGCTTCTGATACAGGGAATTACTTGCTCCACTCTAGACAGATTTTTTGCATTAACAGGGAGGCCTACAGAAGGGAATGAAGGGCCACTTAATCTGTTTGGCAACTAAAAAGATAGACAAAAGCAGTCCTGACACCATGCCAGCATGGATTCAGCACACATCGATTCACCACATATAGAAGTTAAAACCCTGACTCAGTGATTTTCTGCAAGGTTAAAAATCATAAAACTCACAACTATGGTAAAATGTCTTCTCATGTCCCTGTCTACCAACTATAAAGAAATCAAAACCAACATCAGAGTAAGACACAGGACATAATCAGAACACAGTCTCACAAGATATTTGGATGCACTGCTCTCTGCCCTGGGTTGATTTATCAGCTAAGCACCTTCTCCTTGCTGCGCGAGGCAAAGAATTCAATGGCATGCGGGCAACGTCACACAGGTCACTACAGCAGACACATACTCAACGCGATGCTGCTCTCTTATGGCCACCTGCTCTGAGACATTTACCTTTGCTGCCAGTGATGACAGGAATGTTACGTGGGCGAGATCGACAGTCAAAGATGATCGGTTTCTGTACCCAGGGGATGAGGAAGTGGGTACCTTCTCCCACCACGATGTCCTGGACTCCACGGAATCGGTCAAAGATAACTGCTCTGTGGCCTGCATCAACTGGAAAATAAAACAGCATGTAAGCAAGGTTCCACTGCTGCACTTGTGCACCACCATAACATTCTCCATGACAGGTATCAACAGTTGATCAGGGGTAATTAAGCCCTTTTGCTGGAGGAGACTAGTGAAATTACATAAATTGCCAGTAGCCACAGAGCAAAAGAGAAAATTTGGCCACCATTCCAAATCTGCTTTAAAGAACGGCATCTTACAAACAGTTTCTAGTGAAGGACTCTGCAATCCTCTCATCTATACAGCGCAGAGGCCACCCAGCCCAGTATAACCAGCACAGTGACCATGTTTGTTTTCCCCAGCATCATTCATAATAAAGGCACAGAGCAATAAGGACAATGATGGGAAGGACATTAAAGCCACCCAGGGACACCCCCCTTCTCCAGCTCACCATTGTAAAGGGCAGAATTGACAACTCCGCCCACCACGGCCAAGCCCAGGCCAAACTTCCCAATGCTCTCGACCACCTTCGCAGCCATGGCTCACGTCCAGCTCTAGCCCCTCCAGCGAATCCCTCCTGCAAAGGAAAACAAAAAACAAACAAACAAAAAACAAAAAAAAAGAAGAAAGAAAAAAAAAAGAGAGAGAAAAAATATGCTTATTGAAAATACATTAATTGGCAGCGGTGCCTGCAGAGCTGAGGATGAGCATGCCCCGCACAAAAATCCCCCCGATGCCCGCCCTGGGGCTTTTTCCCACGCCCGACCCCCGCTCCCAGAGCCCCCGTTCCAGCTCTTCCAGGCCCCTCTACGCACCGACCCCCGGCCCCTCCGCCTCCAAA